CATCTCCTTCCTCTTACACGGACGACGGACAGACGGACAGACAGACAGACACGAGAGCGGTTGCATAAGCCCGCTTTAATGCTTTTTTAAAAGCAGAAGGGCGGGCTAAAAAAGGGAAAAAATATCTGACTTATCTTTTTACCACAGAGGCCGCCAAAAACGGACCCGGAGCCGATTGGAGGAGACGAACTTTTCGACGGGTTTTCCCATTTCCCAGGCCCCAAGAGCAAAAATTCGATTATTTTTATTCATACTCCTAACATTTGAGTCTAGACGTACACAATGACACCTTTTTTTATCGAAAAAGTCCGCAGTTTACGGATCTTTAAATTTTCTATACCCTTACGGCCCTTGTCCTTTATAAACGACAAGCAGTTTTTCTCGTCTCCCAACGAGCCTATTTGAGTTATACCCTAATCGTGCAAGCAGTCGGCTTCAGTAAGCATTACGGCACTTTGGAATAATTTTTTCGAGGTGATCCGACCCATGGGTCTTACTTGTGTCACATCCGAAAACGCTTAATTTCACGATTTGCCTTTTTAACGTGTTTCTTGACTTTGAAAGGCTTGTAGTTTTGGCAGTAGAGGTCTCAGAACGTCGAGAGGGCCTTGGATCAATTCCCTGAAACCACCTCTACAAAACCCATCCCTCGAAACCCGAAAGATGTCGCATTAGCCTGGTGATATCCACGATTTTCCACTATGTCCTTTATAAAAGATTACAAGCAGGGCTTTTAAGGGTCTTTCGTCATATGTCCAAGGAGTAAATCTCTAGGGTGGCACCCCTACTCTACGCCCTACCCCCTACCCCTACCCGCCCCATGCAAAGTTAAGGCCGCAGGCCCCGGCAGGCCTGATCAAATGCCGCCGGCAGCCCAAGCAGGCCCGGCCCTTGCCGAACGGAGTGGCCGGCGCGGCGAAGCGGAGCTGGCAACTCCGTTTGGCGGAAGGGCGGGCCTGCTTGTTCTGTATGGATTTCAATTTTCGTAAATTGACACTTACGAAACTTTTTCGTAACTCAAAATCTAGCGCCGTACCCAAACCAATGAGAACTAGAAAATGGGTAGATTCCACAAAAACCACAGCAAAGACCAGAGGTTGGCATCCGCTCCTGAACGGGTCCCACTTTGAGCGCGCGCCGTGCGCAGTAGGTGTGCGAGAGAGACAGAGCGAGAAACCCGAGGTAGCGATGGCGATGTGCCGAACCTCGCCGACTGCAGCCGAGCGAACGGGACCCGTTTGAGTGGCCGAGCCCCGCCCGCCGGTCACCTGAGGTCGTGGCATGGAGTGGCGCTGGACCGACTTTGCCTACGCGCCACGCCACGCCACGCCTGGCCAGCAGACGGGACCCGTTGACACGAGCGAGTCTCGGCGACACGGGTGACAGAGCCGAGCGGGACGGAACCGGCTGGGTTTGGGAGCCGATGCCGACCTCTGGCCAAGACGGTCACGGTCACGCCGCTGACAGTAGTCAAAGTGCCCGTATTTCAGTTGTGGCCCAGATTAGCCTCGAGATTAGCCCCCACCCCACCTGCTATGCCGTGATAATATTCGGCTCACCTTCGAGGGCAGTGTTCACAACGACGTTTAGTTCCTCAGCACCGGACCAGACCGTGATGCGGTACTTTGCTCCAGGGACTAGTCGATCTAGGAGCGCGCTCATCGTGGCGACTGCCTGAGTGGTGGAAGGCTGAGAGCACGGACCGGAGCACCCAGCCACTGACAAGCACTGTAAAGAAGCAAGCACTGTTATACAACTGCACTGCAAAATATGTTAGCTGGAAAACAAATATTTGGCTGACGTCGACAAAGTTCCTGAACCGGCCGCGAGGGAGTTCCACCCCTAGTGTCGCGTCGGATCCTTCATCCGCATCGGCCAATCAGCGCCAATACTGCGCCAATGAGAGAAGCGATTACGAACTACTGCTATTCTTCTTTGGGTCCGGTTTAAGCGGGGGCAGACCTGTGAAATGTAAGGGTTTGCAAAATTCGTCACTACATAAAAACTACACGCCGCCGTATCGATTAAGGATTAAAGGTGTATTAAAAACATAGATAGACGCTAATTTTTCCGCTGGCGCCGTTGCGCGCACTCTCCAGGAAAATGCCGATCTTCACCTTCAACGGGAACGATGCACACGCATAGAAAAAATATAGCACCCTAGCTTTTTCTTTGCACTGGTGCAAAAAATTCGTCAGCATAGGCCCAGCTATTTTTTATTTAATTTTTTTTGCTTCACTGGTAAACTTTTTGTCGTTCATCAAACCAGGGGTCCGTAACGCGAAAAATGAGGTACAATCACTTTTTCGACAATATCTTCTAGATGAAGTCAGTTATCTTGACATCCTCAGGCTCGTTTGATAGGCCAGCTGCTGCTTCAAAAATGTCTTGAAATATCATTTGCAATAAAATGCCCCGAAATGGGCGCGTAACAGTTTTCGGTACGATTTTCGATACGTTACGCACCGAAAACTGTAACGTGCCCGTGCCGATTTCGGGCACAAGGAGTAATTTTATTGCAGATAGTATTTCAAGACTTTTTGAAGCACCAACTGGCCTAACAAACGAGCCGGGGTAAGTCAAGACATGTTTGGACGCTGACCCAAACATGGATCAAAACTTATGCTTGTTTGGATCCGTCTTGTAAGCTTGTCAGTTGCCGAAATGAATAGTTGCTCATACCAACGTGTTCCTCTGTCTATTCTGCTAACGGAATAACAACTTGCTCCCGTTCATTTGCATTTTCGTGGTGGATATAGCAGGCGCGGTTTGAAGTCCGTCTGACGGAGGGGGCGATTGGCTGTGGGTTGCTTACTTTCAGGGGTTTTGTACGATAAATTGCCTACTTACCCCAGGGGGCGATTTTGGCCCCCCCCCCCATAAAACCGCACCTGGGATATAGGGCCTGGAAAAGTGGCATTTCATTTCACTAGAATTTCGATTATTTTCTATTAACCTGACTAACCACATGATATAGACACTCCGATTCGTCGTAAAAATGTTGCTTGAAACCGGTTCTGTAAATTTAAAACCTACGTTTTTGAAATTATTGTATTTTCTTGCTCAGTCACGGGATCCTAAGGGCGCTAAGAGTGGAAAGGGACCTAATATGTGCCACAGGTTACCTACCCGGACCTCTCTTAATTAAGGCGCAATGGAAGAAGTAAACGCTTGTAAAAATTTTCCTTTGAGAAATTTGTGATGCTTCTTTGCATCAATTCCTTTATTTTGTTCATATTTTGCCGTGTGCTAAGTGGCATCACGCATGAATGAATTCTAATGACCGATTTTGAGGCGCAAACTAAAGAAATTATTTGAGGAGGCTTCAAATTCTATGTTTTACCCCTACCCGCATTTTTAAAATACTCGGGGTAAAGGATCAAAATCTTCAGAGTTTTAGGATGAGGTGTGCGTGAAAATTTCGAACTTGTTAAACAAAATCACATTTGGAGGTACAATATTATAAAAAAAAGGTTTGTTGGCGCTATTTTTCTTAAGATTTTAAGACCAGTTCCATGTCGCTCAGGCGACACATTAATGCGCAAGTGATTCTTCAAAGATGATTTTAATAATTCGTCTTTGAAAAATCACATGTGCATTCTGTCTACTGAGCGCTACGGAACTAGTCAAAATCTAAAGAAAACTAGTGCCAACAAAACTATAGAGCGTTTTTATAACATTTGTACCTCTAAATATGATTTTGTTTAACGACTTCGAAATTTTCACCCATGCCTAACCCTAAAGGGCATATCATAAAACGTCTTCTCATCGAATACCAAGTAATGCCACCCGTTAGTTTTCTTACAAATAGGAAAAAAGTAGAGCCATATGTGTGTTTTAGCGCGCTTTGACGAGGTCTGTTTTGCTGACTGTTTTTTTGGCGAGCGCCAGCGGGCAGGGGAGCGACCATACAATAAATTGTCACAGACAAATTTCGTTTCATATATAGTTGTCTACTTGAGGAACTTTTAAATTTTTAAATCGGTCGACCCAAACAGAAGTTAGAACCGGCCAAACAGAAATGATAAATGACTGGTACCTGATCCATGTTAGGTAGGTTCACCCTACAGCAAACTAGCTGCGTATCGCCAGAACTATTTGGCAGTACAGCTAAATATTTTATTCTGTAGCTATTTTTTTTTTGCAGAGTTGCCAAATTTGCCTGCTACATCGATTAGCATGGAACCGATTTTGACTTTTCTTTTTCCGAGCAGTCCCTTTCGGTCTGCAAGATTGTAGCGCAACGGATAGGTCTGCGACTGTCCAAAGAAATTGATATTGACTCCTGAAAGATGCCCGTAGTGGTTAACCTGGATTACAGTGATTGTCTCTGTTCGAGTAGAATCGCTTAGTAGGCCGCGGACTCACCTGAAGAGCGCTGTTCATGCAAACCTGCATACGTATGCATAGTAACTTTTCGGTCGAGCCGCAGGCCCGACAAAACACAACTAGGAAGCCAAGCACGTCCGGCCAAACAGAGTTGCCAGCTGCTAGCCATACTAAGAATACCTTTTACCTTTTAACTTCGTTCGGTGAAAGAGGAGGCCAGCGAATCCAAAATCATCATTTTTTGGGCAGAAAGCATCGCTCAAACATAGTTAGAAAGGTGTTTCACACTCTCATAAGCCGTGTGGCTTTTCCGATGGGGCGATCATTTTTTGGAGCGTAGTGGGAACCAAAACAAAGCAGAAAGCAACAAAAGAAAACTAAGCTATATATCCAGAAAGTAGTATTTGACAATGTTTCAAACAATGTGCTTCCCTGCAGCCTTTATGTACACCTATGCATTCACATAGCACTTCGAGAAAATAACCAAAACCGCGATATAAAGCATTTCTTCTCGTAGGTAATGGTGATTTGTTTTGGTTCCCGCAACTCTCCGCCACTCTGGGCAAGGTCTTCAGACGAACTAATTTATCTTCTATAACCCAGAAAAATCGTTTTTTGTTTCAAGTAAATTTTTCCTTTTTTCAAGTGCACGCTGACGCAAGATCAAATTTACTCTTGAAACAAGCCCAAATTTTCTTGCGAATAAGAGGAAAATCTTATTCCAAATACAAAATTGACTTGTTTCAATTGTGAATTTCATCTTGTGTCAGCTTGCACTTGAATCAAGAAACTATTTTTCTGGGTGTACGAACTACGTGTGGATTCAGAGTTCACGAAACGTAAGCGTGATTTTCACGCCAGGCGGGATTTTACGCTTCGTAAGCTTCACGCAGCCAATCAGGGATCGACTTTCATCACGCCGGGCGTGAAAATCACGCTCGCTTTTAGGGAACTCTGAATCCACCTTTATTCTTTGTAATACGAAGCACGTAAGTTCATAGCAACATGGTAAAGAACATAGTTCCCGGTTTGCAAGCATTTTACAGTGTACACATGATTCCAAAAGGGCTTGGTTCCTAACGATTTCCGCCCACTCTTAAAAAAGAAATTCTTATTTCGACGAATTGGATTGGACTCTTATTGGTGTTTTCCGCTTCGTTTTTCTGACTCCTATTTGCCATCTATTGATCTTAATCCTGAAGATGCCCAGGCCAGTGAACACATGATTCCCGATTGGTTGCCCCCTCGGGATTTTCATCACAAGAAAATGCGTCAATTGTGCGACAACTTCAGGCACAGTCAAGCAGAAGCAGACGAACACGTCGTTTTTGCATACCTCAGTTACAACGTAAAAAAATTCGCCGTGTTTGAATTGAGCTGCATTCCATGTTATTTGGATGCTGCGAGATGTCACACTCGTCACTTTCAGATTTGACAGCCGACCTTCAGTTCCACATAGAAAGACAAAAGAGAGGTTAGTTGTAATTAATGTGGAATGGTGTCAAAAGTGATGTGGTTGATTTGTTGAGCCCTTCCAGATGCTGCTGATTAGATTAGCACAGTACGCTTTTTCAAATCAGAGGTCCCGGCTAACAGACATTCAGGAATCAAATCAGCTACTTCTCCAATGTACCCTTTTCTTCTCTCATACTCGCGTGCTCTAGCGCAATACCCTTTTCCACGTACAACTCGAAGAACGTTACTATTCTACACATGGCATTATTTATAAGATGGTTGACAAAATATGAGGCTGCTTACAATTTTGTTTATTACTCACCAAGCACCGGGGTGCGCACGTACGAGTGTGGTACGCTCCTGTATGCTTCGAGATCTTCATTGAGTAGTAGTACACTCAAGTAAAGTTCCTCTCCTGGAGGTAGACCAGTGGCGACAAATGACTCAAGGTAAGTAGAATTGCTGTACATGTCATAAACCTGTGCGGTGCGGGCATCGTCTTGGAAACTCCCGTATTCGTCGTCCTCTGCCGTTTAAAAGAGATCAAATATAAAACAATAGGGTACTCAAAAAGGGCGTTGCGGATGTCCCGAGTGGGAGGATCACAAGTTAAAGTATAGTTTAAACTGCAGTGACCAAACCGTACTTCTAACAAGCAGGCCCGCCCTTCCGCCAAACGAAGTTGCCAGCTTCGCTTCGCTGCGCCGGCAACTCCGTTCGGCAGGGGCCAGGCCTTCTTGGCCTGCCGTCGGCGATGGTCGGGACTGTGGCCTGACCATTTCTGTCACGCGATTTGCTGTAGAACATAATCAAATGATGTAACGGGCCTTAGGCCCGCAAAGCCCGTCGTTCTTAAAATTTGCCCCGTAGACACGAGAAAGGGATGTAACGGTGAAACACCGCGACTACAACCCACCCTTCTGCTTAGAAAACGTTTTTTGTGGTGGGGGGAGGGAGTTTCTTACCTCTTATGCGGTTCTGGGCTTTCTTTTACATTTAATTGTTCACTACAGCAATTTTTAACTTATTTTCGTCAAACAAGACCCTCTAGCGCCTAAACGGTTAGAGATGGAGCCAAACGGACGAAATTTTCGCCCGAAAGGGCTCTACTTTGACAAGTTACCCCTCAGGAGACCATTCAATATTTTCGGAAATTAATAAATTTATTTTTGGGCCACTTTTGTGAGAGAAACTCCCTCTAGCGCCCAAACGGTAAAAGATACCCAGCTGAAAATTCCGCCGGAAATTATTCCATGGAGTTCAAATCCCTTGAGTAATTTGGTTACATCCATGTAAAATTTTCCCTGGAACAGTGATTCCACGGGAAAGCATTGTTCGATGGAAATGGATTCCATGGAAATAATATGGCATCGGTAGTGGTCCCTGGAAATTTCTTTCATGGAAATAGCATATCGCACTTAGGTTTTGGCGACACACGATTATTTTTTTGCTTGTGATTGCACGGAGATCCAGATCAATGAACACAGCACATTATTGGTAGCTTACATTCGACCAAAGACCAAAGAACATAAAAAATCAATAATTTTGAAACAAAATACCGTACCGCGGTAGCATGCTAAGGTTATGTTTGAGGTTAAGTGCTACGGGTCTCTGCGAAAATCTGGTTATTCTGCTTTTCAAAACCGTGCTCCGACTTTTACTTACTGGGTAGATTAATGCCGACGATATCAAAGAAACCATCGATATCCTCAATCCTCATGGGCAGTCCTCACAAGAATATACAAACGAATGTAACGAAACTTCATTCCACGAGTTGCGCGCGTCGGCCAGCGGCAGCAGCAACGAGCGGGAGGACTCTGTTACAGGTTAGGTAGGTCGGCTCACCGCCACCACCAGCTCAGGC